CGCCGCCGTCGTCGTCCGCCGGCGCGTCGAGCGCGCGCAGCCGGACCGCCGCGCGAGCGCCGATGTCGCCCGCGGCCGCGCCGTCGAGGCCGCCGAGCACCGCGAGGGACAGCGCGTCGCCGAGCCGCTCCGCGTCGTCGCCGGGCGCCGCGCAAGCCCAGGCATGGGCGAGGGCCACGGCGTCTCGCGTCTCCATTGCGTCCTGCAGCAGCGCCATTCGCAGACAGCTACGCGCTCCTCATCGATGCGTCATTGGTCCGCATCGCAGCATCCTGCAGGCAGAGCTCCGGAGAGCCCCATAAGGGTGCGTCTTCAACTTGAAGGCAATGACGCAGGTCAATTTTTCAGCCAGCACCCAGCACCGTGCGGAGGTACTAGTATATATACACTTGGGCGGCGCGCGGGGGGCGGACGGATATCAGGCGACGGAGCGACGCGCCTCGCGCGCCGCGTCGAACGGCCGCGCTCCTCCGAAGAGGAGGCGACGACGACGCGGGCGGTCGGCGCGAGGCTCGGAGAGTGGGGGTGGACGGATGGGGGGTGTGGCGCGCGGGGTGACCTTCGGTGGAGGCGCCTGGCGGCGGGCTGGCGCCCGACGCGGGCCTCCGCGGGCGCGGGTCGTTGGGACCTCGGCGCTCGCGTGCTTGAGCTTGCTTGGTGGAGTGTGTTGCGACTCCTCAGGCCTCGACCTCGGCCTTGTCGTCGCCGACGGTAGGCATGCTCTCGCGGCGGTGCTGGCGCGCGGCGACGACGCGCTTGCGGACGAGGAAGAGGACGGCCGCGATGAGGAGGACGGCCGCGACGACGACGGGGATGATGATCGCGAGGGACGCAGGTTTGCCGCCGTTGCCGCAGGAATCGCCGCCGCTGCCGTAGCAGGTGACATCGTAGAGCGAGTAGTAAGTGTTGGCACGGCCTTGGAGTGATTCACCACTTTCGACGTCGCAGCAGAGGCAGCCCCAGCCCACGCCGTTGGTTGTCCTGGAGGTTCCTGCGACGCCGAGGCGCGTTCGCGCGTCTGGCGTCGGGGGACGCGGGGGGAGCTCGCAGGTGCGGTAGCGTCGTACATTTTGAGACACTCGGGCGTGAGGATCGTTTTTTCGCGAAAATTTGACTTTCAACCCGCACTAGACCCGCCCGCGCGCGCGCGCGCGGCAAATTTTCAGGAGGTTTAGTACACGTCCCTCCGGCCGCTGGCCGGATTTAATTAATAAATATTATTTTCTTATTTCGTACGGGCGTGTCTAGGCGTCGGTTGTTTTTGGCACTGGAGGTGTTGCTTTTGTTATTTTGCTATAGCCGGCGGGATAGGCTACCCCCGCGACGTCGGAAAAGTACGTTACACCTCCGCGCAGGAGAACGCGGCGACGCTCGGCGGCGCGCAGGCCGCGTCGTAGCAGTGGGCGTACTTCTGGGCGATGACTTCCGGCGTCCCGTCGGGCCCGGGCTGCGTGTGCATCGTCTGGGAGCAGCCCGACGTGTAGAGCGCGGAGGTGTCGACGAAGGACCCGTACCAGTCCCGCCCGTAGTAGGCGGCCTCGGCGGCGAGCTGGCCGTCGCGGTCGCCGGGCGCGAGGGGCGTCGTCGCGCACGCCGTCGTCGCCGCCGCCGCGGACCGGTCCGCGGCGAGGCCGAGCAGCGACCCGCGGAGGTACGCCTCGAGCTCGTCGCGGTAGGCCTGGACGTCCGCGAGCTTCGCCCGGAGCTTCTCGGAATCCGTCGCCCCGAAGGCCTCCAGCTGCTTCGGCAGGTCGGCCCAGTCGTCCACGAAGACGAAGGGCGCGCCGCGGATCGCGCCGTCGACGCCCCGCTGCCAAAAGGCCGCGGCGTCGCCGCAGCCCTTGGCGCTGACGCCGCCGTCGCTTCGGTACGTCGCGTCGACCACCGGTATCGCGCCCGTGAGCAGGGCCTCGAGCACGCGGCCCGACGTCCAGGTGTCGCCCGCGGGCGCCAGCGCGAAGACCGACGCGCCGTCGCCGGCAAAGCCCGGCGCCGAACCGGCCGAAAAGTCCTCGCGCGAGAACGCGGGGTCGTAGAACGTCGCGCCCGTCGGCGACGTCCTCGGCATGTCGACGACGGTGGAATTGAAGCGCACGGCCAGCCCCGCCTTGGTCGCCAACGCCTCGAGCTCGGACGCGCCGCCGCCCCGCAGCCAGGTCACGAGCGCCTGGCGCGACGGCTTCCGGCCGTTGACGCTCATCGCCGCGTCGAAGAGGAAGGGCCGCGCGTCCAAGCCCGCGGGCGTCGCCGACGTGAGCTTCTCCGCGTTTCGCGCCGCCGCGGGCTGCCAGAAGGCGGCGTCCTCGGGGTTCTCCAGACCCTCGAGGCCCTCGGGGAACCACAGGTCCGCGGACGTCGGCGCGCCGTCGTTCGCCAACACGACCGCGTGGTGCGTCGCCGGCAGCTCCAGCCGGCACGCCGAGTCGCCCGCCAGCACGAGCACCAGGGGCTTGCCGTAGGCGAACAAGGCCCGGAGCAGCGTCGACCGCTTGACGATGTCCGGCGTGTACTGGTAGACGCACATCGTGTCGAGCGCCGTCGCGGATTCGCCGTCCAGGTCCCCGACGACGCCGCGCTGCAGCGACGCCCGGGGCACGCCGTAGGCGCGCTGGAGCGTGTCGAAGTCGTCGAAGTCCGTGTCCAGGGCCTCGGAGGTGACCGTGACCCAGACGACCGCGCCCGCGCCGAGCTTGCCCTCCGCGAGCGCGGACAGCAGCGCTTGCCGGCCGTCGTAGCGGTAGCTCGTGACCCGGGCGGCTTGCCCGGCGCGCGCCGACGCGCGGGGGCCGCAGAGGCCGTAGCGCCAGTAGGTGTAGGCCTGCTTGAGGAAGATGTGGCCGCTCATGAGCGACGGCCCGCCGTCGCGCTTCGCGAGGTAGTGCTCCTCGACGGGCACCGCGTCGCCGCGTCCGCCGCAGGCCCAGGTCTCGACGGCGACGAGCGGCGCGACGACGGTCTCGCCGGGCGACAGGAGCGCCGCCTCGAAGCCCTCGTTCACGGCGTCGCGCCGCGCCAGCGCCAGCAGCGGCGCCGTGCCGTAGCCGTTGCCCACGAGGCCGAGGCCGGCGACGGCGGCGACGGCCAGGGCCGTCGCCGCGCGCTTGCCGATGCCATCGCGGCGCGGCGCGGCGAGGAGCGGCGTGCGCGCCGACGCCATCGATGGGGCTGCCGTCGACGACTGGGCTGCCGTCCGAACCTTTCCAGCTGTGACGCAATGCTACTTATTTCTAAACAGCATCTTCGACTCGAAGCAGAGCACTTTGCCGAAGCTGCCCCGCGCGCCGTGAAAAAGCAAGGGGATATAAATCTAGATGGGGTGGCAGGCGAAACGCGAGGTCCTCGTACTACTCGGGGCCGCCGCTAGCGTTTTCTTTCTTCTTCCACGCCGCAGCGCGCGGGCTGAGTGCAACGATGGCGGGTCGCGCGGCGCGGCGCGGCTGCGGAACCCTTCGACGGGGCGGGGCAGCGAATTTGGGCTGCTGAGATCATTGCGTTGGCTCGCGAGCGCGACGGTTGTTCGGCGGCGGGACGAGAGGGCGGCGGTGTGAGTCGAGTGTGCGATATTTTCTTGTCCTTAGAGGTTGGAGGCGCCCTATGGGTACCCGCGGGGGGCTCGAAACCTTCAGGACACACTTTTCCCACGATCTCAGAGCCTGCGCAGCCCCGGCGCCGACGGTGTCGCAACACAGTTTCTCGGGCAGCGTGCGGGCATTCGAGGTCGAGAACTTTTCGTGTCCTGAGATGCTCGAGCCCATCCATAGGTACCAACGAAGGGCTCTGCAGCGCCAGCAGACGGTCCACGACCATCATCATCGCGAACACGTCCAAGAGCTGCCCCAAAACCCCCTTCCTCGCGTGGCGCCAAACCGGACACGGTGCCCTCCAGCGCGCCTCGGTT